TGTATATATATATATATATATATGTGTGTATATATATATATATATGTGTGTGTATATATATATATATATATATATGCGTGTATATATATATATATATATATATATATATGTGTGTGTGTGTAAGAAGTAAAAAAAAATTTTTTTTTAAAAAGCATTGTTTTAAATAAAGTCCCGCTCAATGTTTCAGCCACAACTTTCATTTTTTTGCCGAAACTGCTTTCTGTCACTTTGTTCTCCCTTTTTGATAAAATCCCAGAAACATTTCTGTGCTGGCTTCACATTTACTGAGTATTGTAATCTCCCATCATCTGTATATTTATACAGGAACTTTAAACACGCTCTGACTTTAACACATTTGTTACTTATAAATAAATGTTTGTTTCAGTAACCGTTCTGTTTTCTGTTTGGTTTTCAGGAAGCGAGCTGCCGCAGCAGCAGGACATCAGACGGAGCTGAGGGTCAGTTTCTGCTTCTGGACTGAAAAATGAAAACGTGACGACATCGTCCGACAGTCTGAACGATTGAAAATAAATTAACGTAAAGTTTAGTTTCTGTCTGAAACTCTATACAGTGGTTGTGTTATTATAACACTACACTTTAACACTAAAATATATATTGTACAAATATACATATATGCATTTATAGAGACACTGTAACAGCTAAACTAAGCTTAGAGTCAACCAGCAGTTCCAGTTCAACTCCGACAGAAGACAAAAAACAAACAACAAAATAATTTGAGTTTAAAACACAAAGATAAAAAGATGAGGCCCATCGCTCTGATGGAGTTATTCTCATCACATGTTTGTTTCTACATGCCTCCTTCTCTGTCTCAGCAGGAAGACATGCACAGCAACTTCCTGCCTGCTGAGGACGCGGGACAGCAGAGGACAGAATCAAGCCAAGAGGACGGGGACGTCAGCTACGCCTCGGTCCAGTTCAGACACAAGAAACACAAACGGTGGGAACACACACACACACACACACGGTTCTCACCCTCATCGTGTGTGTAAAACTGAAGAATCTGTGCAGCCCTTAAACCAGTTGATCTTTAGGCTTAACTGAACTTTAGTTTTCAGTTTGTTGACCTTTGACCTGTTATGACTAACGCTTTCATCACTGTGATGACATCTTCACGTGAGCTTTTTCAAAAATTAAGCTTTATTAAAACCTTTCAACAAATGCTCAGGCGGTCCAGAAAACAGCAGCAGAGGAATAAATGTGGCTCAGCGCTGACTCTCAGAGCAACACGTCGGTTTAAAACCTCAGCACCAACTGTTGGAGTCAACCCTGACTGTCTGTTAGTAAAATATATTGTGAGCCTACCAGAAATGTTGTTTCTATTAGGAAATAACCACTGGATGCACATCTACAACCGATCAATTTTCAGAGCTAACACATATCAAGATGGCTAATCAGCTTTAGCCAACGCCAAACGGTTAAAAGTCTGTCAGTTTTACGGAGACTGAGCTAGTTTAGTGTGGTAGTAGCTGAGAGTCATTAGCAACTCATACTCTGCACATGAGAACAATCATGATGTTATTTTTTATGCAACAAAGTTCAATCAGGTCATCTGGATGGTTTCTTTTTATGTTGAGACGTTTCATCCTTCATCCAAAGGACTTCATCAGTCCAAGGAGCCACAACAAACTCAGTCCCACAAGCAGCACACTCACATAGTGGGCCAACCAGTTTGCTGGTGATAAAATGGTTTCTGGGGCCCACTGTCTCTCCCGTCGACTCCTCTGAGGCAGCCATAGCCAAAGTGGACTGATGAAGTCCTTTGGATGAAGGACGAAACATCTCAACAAATAAAGAAGGCGTCCAGATGACCTGACTGAACTTTGTTGGATTTTTTTACCTGGATTATTGGGCATGAACTTTGATGTTAATTTTAATAGTTTTTGTTTAAAACTTTAATTAAAAGGCGGCAGGTGATATGCATTCCTTCAAGGAATAATAGGCATTTATTTTATTTTATTTTTTTACCTCCGGGTGACTGAACCGCTCTGTTCTTCTGACACGCTAAAGCAATCATCATTTTCTCCTTGCTCTGCATGTTGTTTTAGACAAGTGGAGGAGGCAGCTGATAGCATCATCTACTCATCAGTAGCCACCAAAAGATGAGGTCACTTCCTGTTTCCTCCCAGAAGAACAAATGGAGGAGTCATTGAGGTGACACAGTGAGATCTGATGACATTCAGAACTGATGGAGAAAACATCTGAACCAAGAACCCTCAGATACAGTCATTTTATTTAAATTCTTTATGTCAGGCTCAGTCCCTGAACTGTTTTACTTTACCATCCTGGTTTTAATAATTAAAATGTGAGTATGTTTAAAATGTAGAGAGTCTGATCTGAAACACTGGCAAATAAACAGTTACATGTAATATAATGTATTATAGTAAATTTGTTTGTTGTTTTAATAAATGTTTGTGTGTAATTTAAAAAAAATGTTTTGAAGTTTTTTTTCTTATGATAAAAACGTTGAAGAACGATTAGATTTTCTAAAATCCTGATGTTTGTTTTTTTTATTCTCTCTAAAAGTAAAGTCATAGATTCCAATTCGTTCATGTTAAGAATGAATCTTCAAAGTAGGGTTAGGTCAGGAGTTCCTCAGGGTTCAGTGCTCAGCCCAATACTCTTTGAAGTATTTAGTCTTCTATTGCTATTATTAATATGGTCAGACAGCACAGGATAAATGTTAGGATAAAGATAAGGTTTCGCTATTGTCATTCTCATCATATGTGGTACATGTGGTGGAACAGAATTGCGTACACAGGGTCCCATTTACATCCAACAAAAGTATAAATTGTAAAGAAAAACAGTAGTAAGATCTAAGATATGAACTAAGAAATTTGCTAAACTAAGAATACACTAAGCACTAATAGTGCACTAATGTTCAATGTTATGCTAACGATACTCTGTTATTTTTATCCAGGAAACCTGATTAATAAAGTTAGTTACTTAGATTACAATCTTAATTTTGAAACATAAAAACATGGATGACTTTGAATTGAAATTCTGAACATTACGAAGAGGTTTCATAATCGAGTCGTGTGTTTTGAGAAATTACGAAAGTAAACCCAAAATAGCTTCATAACCTAAACTCCTGAGAAGTAAAGAGGGGAAGACGTTTCAACACGTTCAGTCTGAGAGGAAAAACAAAACTGTTTTTGCTTTTTGATTCAAACCAATCCATAATTCAACAGCTTGGATGAAATACTTTGATTTTTGTGTGAAATTTATTTGAAACCACAAATTTAAGACTTAAATTCAGTTCAAATTAAAAGTTTTAACAGTTTACAAACACAGATAGTTCACGCTGAGCCTAAACCATTTGATTTTTAGTTTAAATAAATCTTAGACCCGTTTGTTTTGGTGTGTTCAGACACCACCAGTGCTCCGGATGTTTGCTTCTAATCCATCAACAAACAAGGAAAAAATATGGAAACTGTGGACAACTGACCAACACTCCCTGTGGAAGCTTGTGAATCAGCAGTAACTTTGTGCACTCCTCCTACAAATCCCATGATGCTTCAGTGTGATTCTCAGTAACATCACATCACTTCCTATCCCATTTTGTTTTGGTTCCAGGGACGTTCTTTGCGGTCAGATCCATTGTCTGAAGCAATGAGAATATCTTTAGTAACTTTCACCAGTCCCGTTTCTGATGAGCTGAGCTCTAAACCTCGACTGAAGTTCCACAAATAGATTATTCTTTGTAGATGTTCATGCAGCTAACCTACATCTATTATCTCTAGAATTTTTAGATGGATGTTAGATTAGATATAGGTCCATAATTGCCCAGAAATCCTGAATTAAGATTATATTTCATAATTAAAGCTTAAAACGCTGTGGTACGTAACCATTCATTAGATACAAATTAAGCAGACCCAAAATGTGGATATTATTTAAACACTCTGGTTGGGATGGAATCTAGCAGACATGTTGACGGTTTGGATGAAGTATATTTGACAATTCAGAGAGCTCAACAGGATAAAAACAGTCCAAACATAAATCAGGTTCTAGTGACATTTCTAAAGCTGCCTCATCTGACAGGGAACCAGAGGCAATAGTAGGAAGGATGGTTTGAATTTTCTCCCTAATTGAAATAATTTTATTTATAAAGAATCTCATAAAGTCATCACTGCTTATAGCTGTAGGGATATGTGGCTCAACAGAGATAGGATGTTTAATTAGTTTAGCTACTTAACAGAAACCTGTGGTTATATTTTATTCTCATCTATTAAAGAATAAAGTTCATGTTCACCATCATGAGATATATATATTATTTTTATTTTAACATTGGTTTATCCCAGCATTTAATAAGTTCATTCTGGACTGGTGAGTACTTCATCATGATGATGTGTTCAGTTTTCCCCAGTAAACGCTGACTCAGCATGATTGTTTTCCTATATTTTTCTTTTAATCTATTTACTTTTACATATTTCGAGCTGTTTAAACTATTCATACATTGAAATGTTCAACTTGTTCAGTAGATTGCAGGTGAAACTTTTGTTTTTTGTAACTTTTATATTTCATAAAGCATTTATTTACAAAAACTTCCCAGTAGAAATACACTAAAATGTATTTAATTCTTACAAAAAAAAAATTGTTCTTTTTTTCAAAATTGTTTGGCTTCCTGTGCTACTTTTAGCTTTCAGCTGTCCTTCTGTAAGGCGACTCTTAGCCAGCCTTTTGTTACTTTTAGCTTTTATCTGTTTTGTGGTACTTTACATTCATTTATCGGTAACACTGTAATACTTTTAGCAATTTTGCTACTTTTTGCTTTCATCTATTGTTAAGCTATTCTTGTTTTCATTAAATTGTAACTTTTACTCTGGTGCTTTTAGTAACCTTTTGCTACCTTAGCTTTAGCTGATATTTTTGGTATAGATATTTAAACATTTTAACTTATGATCTGTTACTTTAGCTATGTAGCTATACTGTTTTGCTGCTTTTGGCGTTTACCTAGCATTTTGCTACTTTTGAGGTTTAGCTAGTGTTTTGCTTATATTATCTAATGTTTACATTTTTTCAGCTTTTGACTATGTTTTGAACAATTTCACAGAAAATGTTTTATTCTGTAGGAGTGTATTTTACTTTGGTAGTCGGCGGAAATGGAAGATTTTCTTTTCCGGTTTAAGTCACGGTCAGGGTAAAAGATGGCTGCGCCCGAAGAGTTGTTTTGCTGGGAAGGAGACTGGGGCTTACCGTCCGTCAGCACCGACTGTCTGGTGGTTCTGGTGAGTGTCCGGTCGAACCGAGCCGGTGTCGGTTCTCCGTTTGTTTGTAAATAGGTCTTTGTCGCGGTAAAACCCGGGTTAAAGCGTCACGTGGCGCCGAGAGACGGTCCCGTTAAACTAATATTTTACCGGTGAACCAGAAAAACGGTTGAAACATCCGGAACAGAGAAGTCAGAAGGTGACTCCCAGTGCTGGTTTAACGAGTTCTGCACAGAAAAGTTGAAATTAATCAGAAAAAAGCCTGTAGGTTGAAGTTTTCTTAAGTTTAATATCGAAAACAAAAACTAACATACGTCATTAACCTACATCTGATTAAAGATGTTTAATCAGCCAGCATGTGATGAGTTTTATGGGTTTATCACATTAAACTGTTGGACCGTTAAGAGTCATATGTCAGGTTTAAAATAAGTTTTTCACACAGTTTCTGCTTTTTTGTTTCCTCTACATCTTGATTCATTCAGACAAAAGGTTCATAGTTGTGTTTATTTGTCATATGCAGGTTAACACGAGGTTAACAGTACAATGAAATGTTCATGAGAAGAACCGATTTGGCTTGATAAAAAAACAATAACAAATAAACAAACAAGAAAGACTAAACCACATGTCAAATTCAAGGCCCGCAGGCCAGATGTGGCCCGCCACTCATTTTATGTGGCCCGTGAGAGCTTCAAAGGTCTGATTGTTGTATAATAAATAAGTCAAAAGGATGCACTGATAAACTACATTTCCCATAATGCTTGCCGATTATGTTACCCTTGAAGCAGAGCCCTGTAAAGAGAGAGTTGGGACACTCTTTGAACTCGCCGATACGCGGTCACGTGGTTCATGCAGCTCCCCATAGTTCCAAACAGTTCATCGCTGTCAAGTCATTTTGAGCGGCTGCTGGCGCAACATAACACAAAAATCGACTTTTCTTACTTTACCTGACGTCTTTCAGTAATTGCTGAGCAGTAACTAACTGATTACTTAACCGATTATTGATTATTTCACAAACTATGCATTTTATCAAAGCATTTTTAGAAGCGGCTGATACATTTATCATTAAATTTTAGAAGGAAACGAGACTGCAAACACATATTTGTTAGAAAAAAAATGTATATGCAATACAATGATCAATATAGCCACATCAGTGTTTTATAACGTATACACACGTTAAAGATCAGAGTAACTCCTGTTATAAAGCTGTTTCTGATGTTCTCTGCAGGATAATGCTCCACCTTGTCCTCCATGCAGCAGTTCAGATCTGCTCCAGCTTACCTTAGATCATCTGGATGAATTCTTGATTTCTATAGAAGATATTAATTCAACCTTTATTTAAACAGGTTTGTCCCATTGAGCCACGAGGACTCATTTACAAGAGAGACCTGAATATAATTGTTGTATTTGTCGTTTTTTTATGGAACCAAGTACCTGATAACTGAGTTGATTGTAGCCTGACAACTATTGTAAAATTGTAATTCATTGATTAAAATGTTAATTTAAATGAAACTGTTTCTAGTTAAAACCATAACAGATGACAAAATAAGTGTTAACTGTGCAAAAATAAATTTCCAAACAATTTATTATATAATATGTAAAATGTAAAGCAAGCTTTAATAAAGTACTTTTACTGACATTTATACTGTTTATTAATGACATCATCTGAAGTCAGCAGGAGCACCATCATCATCATCATCACAACAACACAAAGTGAGAGCTGTAAATTTAATCTGCACAAACATTTTCAATCAGGGCTCAAAATGTTTAACTGTCAAAGAAATGTGCAATAAAATAAACTAATGTCACTCTACAGGCACATTTAGAGAGAGGACAGTTCACAGAGACACAGTGAGGACGTGTGAGACTGAGAGACAGTGAGGATGTGTGAGACAGAAGGAGGTTCAACCAGTTGTTCATGGACCAGACCCAGATGAGAAGAACAGCAGAACTTCCACTGACCAGTGATCACACATGTTGTTCTAAATTAAACTTTGGTACGAACAGTGTTAAATAAGACATGTCATATTTTTTATTGAACAATAATCTTCATTCTAACAGTGACGTTATAATTTCAGAGACTGAGGAAGAAACAGAAATGAGGCGAGTGAGATGAGGGAAAGATGAAAATGTGTCCTCAGAGGACGGGGACATGTCAGGATCTGATGATCCAGGATCAACAGGACCAGGAGGATGGATCAACAGGCAGTCAGGGAATAGAGATGAACAACCTGAGGGAACAATTAGAACACAAAAAATACATAAGCAGGACAGAAGAAACTCACAGACAAGAAAATTAACTCAGTCCTGTGAAGAAAAATGTTAACAATGGAAAATAAATTGACATATTTTTACAAAAGATCAGATAAAGACAACTGGCATGAAGAATAACTTCCAGCTCCATCTCAATGTACCTGTGATAGTTTAATAAGTGTTTTGTTACTGTCCTACAGTTTATTGATGCTGATTTATTCTTGTAATAATTCTTATTTCTTGTTCTGTCTTGAAAGAGTCTCATCTCAACTTGACCCATGATTACCAAACACTAAACTAATAATATAAAACTAATGTAAATTAACAGTCCTGCAGTAAATACCAACTTTGTGAAGGTTATGGTGTTAAAGTAATTTTATTCAAACATCTTGATTCAGCTGTTATTGATTAATAGAAGACAGAAAATGAGATCTTGTACCTTTGTGATACTTTGAAAGCAACATTCAGTTCATGAAGTCATTCTGTGGTTTACCTGGAAAACATGAAAACATTGACTCATCTCCACCATCACGTTTTTCTTTAATGATAATGTCACAATTTATGCTGCAGTCTTTGACAAATGATCTATAACTTTAACTAAATTACGTCAATCTTGTTGTCATGTTGTCATCATTCTTTGTTAAATCAGGTCTCTCTTGTAAATGAGTCCTCGAGGCTCAATGGGATTTACCTGTAGAAATAAAGGTTGAATGAATCTCTCAGGAAAAAAAGGCCAAATATTTTCTAGTTGAGTTCAGTAACTGGAATTACCACAAATTAAAAAAGACCACCTTTCAAAATGTAAGCAATAATAGATATTTTAAAACGTTGAATTAGAAATAGACCCGTTTAAACCGTCATGTTGCAGAGCAGCTGCAGTTAAAACACAACTAGTAATTTAACATGTTTCATTAACTAAAACTGGCGACATGAAGTATTAATGTTGATAAGTTGAGGTACAGAACAGTCAGATAATGCTTCACAATGGAGAAAAAGTGTCGTATTTGCATTAACTTACCGGAAAAACACGGAAAATGAACAACGTTCAATGGTGAACCCGCTGCTGTTTGGAACTCTTTGCCGCTTCATGACCCACGTGACTTCCGCATTCCATTCTTTCTATGGGAGTCTATGGGAGTGTCGCAACTCTCTCTTTACAGGGCTCTGCCTTGAAGTAACAGCGTCCAACTACATTTCCCATAATGCTTGCCGATTATGTTACCCTTGAAGTAACAGCGTCCAACTACATTTCCCATAATGCTTGCCGATTATGTTACCCTTTAAGTAACAGCGTCCATCCATCCATCCATCTATCATCTTTACCCGTTTATTCCATTTTGGGTCACGGGGGTCGCTGGTGCCCATGTCCAGCAATCACTGTGCGAGGGGCGGGGTACACCCTGGACTTGTCAACGTAACAACGTCCCTTCACTAGATTGCAGTTTTTCCACATCGGTGTCATTTTCCGAACAAGTGGAATTGAAAAATACAAACAATGATCCCAAAATGTCCAGGAAAAGCAAAACTGATGCAGATGGAAGGCTGTTTCAAGAAAGATGGGAAGGCGAATATGTTTGTGCTTCAAGGAAAGAAACCGCTATGTCTTTTGTGTTATGAGGCAGTGGCGGTCGTCAAAGAGTACAATCTACGTCGGCATTTTCACACCAAACATCAAAGGGAGCCTTCATCCCTAATGTTGTTATTTTGACTTTATTATACTTATGTCTTTTTTTTTAATTGCAGCAATGTATTTGGGATTGCAGGTTTATGTGTTTGTGCAGGCAAATGTTTTCTGAAATAATACCATCTCACATTAGTTGGATGTATGACCCTTGGAAGGCTTTATTCTGCCCCTCTTATATGACAAAAAAGTTTTGAACAAAATTAATGTCATAACTTGTTATTTTTCTTTATTCACTTGGAAAGTTTGATCATTAATTTATGGAGTAATATGGGTTTCATAACCTGGCAAATTAAAAGGTTTTATGTTTTTCTACATCTATGCAAATATATATATGTAATAATTGTAAGTTGAATAAGTAAAAGTTTCAGAGTTATTTAACATTAAGGGGTAGTTATGTTTATTTTACATTACACTTAGTTAAATTTAGCAATATTTATACTGTCTTACAGTTACATCTGGCCCTTTGAGGGCAACCATTATGCTGATGTGGCCCTCGATGGAAATTAGTTTGACACCCCTGTACTAAAGTGTGCAATAAGGGTACAAAAATAAAGTAACAAAGTAAAAAAGTAATTATAATATTTACAAGATCCCAAAGAGAAAATAGTAAACAAGATTATGGTAGAATTTTAATGGAGCAAGATTGTGTCGAAACGTAAACATTTTTAAAAATAGTCTCTTTAGTCTCTGTTCTGTCAGAGACACGGTCTGTTCTCGTTTCTTTAGCTGGATTCATTATAAAAATGTTCAAACACTTTTCTAATCAGAGTAGAACTGATTGTAGCTTCAAAACATGAAATTTGTCTGGAATTTAACAAAGTTACGTCAGGTCCTCTGGACGAATTTAAAAAAACAAAAAACAAATAAAAACTTGTTGAGACGTTTCGTCTTTAATCTAAAAGACTGTCAGTCTGAGGAGCTGCAATAAACCCAGTGTTATAAATAGCACCATCTCATAGTGGATCAACCAGTTTGTTGTTGACATCCAGAACTAGCTGTTCACATGATAACAGGGCCTCCATGTCCAACTGTCCTCCTCTTACAATGCTGTTATTCCTAGTATCTCTCAGTCTTCTGTGAATAGCAAGCAGCCATCAGGGCACTAACGACCAACTGTTAGGCTGATGGTCCTTCTTTATCATGTGAACAGCTGGTTCTGGATGTCTGTCAACATCAAACTGGTTGATCCACTAAATAGTTAAGGATTTACTGGTCTGTTAATGTTCCTCCCTCACTTGTGGTCATGAGGTTTGGATGAGGACCAAAAGATCCAGATCCCAGATACAAGAAGATGAAATGGTCTTCCTTCACTGGTGGCTGGGCTCAGTCTTAGGGCGAGGAGCTCCGTCATCCAGAGGGAGCTGGGAGTAGAGCCGCTGCTCCTCCGCATCTAAAGGAGCCAGTTGTGGTGGTTCATCCAGACAGGTCCCACTGGGAGGAGTCTCCAGGGGAGACTCAGAAGTCAGGGAGGGATTGTGGATCTTCTCTGGCCTGGGAACTCCTCAGGGTCCCCCCGAACGAGCTGGAAAGTGTCTCTGGGGAGGGGGGGGTCTGGGTTTCTCTCCTGGTCCTGCCTCTGCGAATCACTACAGATGTGAGGTAGAAGATGGAGATGAAGAATTCAAATAAAGCAACAGTTTAAAGTTCGAGTAAAAGAAAAGCATGAAGTTTATTTATTTTTTGTTTTTTGTTCATTATTCTATGAACATTTTAATTTATTTTGTTTCCTTTATTTATAGAGATAAGTCCCATTGCGACACAATTGTCTCAACTGCAAGAGAGGCTCGTTATACACAAAAATAACAACAATACAGTTGGTAAAATCAATACATAAAAAACAGTATAAAATATACATTTCAACATAAGCTATACAGACATAAGAGAAACAGAAACAAGAGTGAGAGTTTATGGATGTGATCTTTCATTAAAAAACAAAAAACTCCTGTCAAACTGAATATCCTGATAAGTGTTTTTATTTGTCTACAGTTCTTCGCAGCTGAAGCTTTTTAAAATAAATGTGTAATTCCTCAGGCTACCTTCAGATGGCAGCATGATTTTAAACAGAACTGCAGCCTCCACGTTTTCTATTAATAAAATAAGTTATTTCAGTTTTAGGCTCTTCTTCTTCGTCCGATACGGCAGTAAGTCAAATCTGTTGAACATTAATGAGTCAGACACGCTTCTGTGTTATGGTGTTTTTTAATTATAAGTTGATAAAATGAAGGTGTCCGATTTATTATTTTAATTAAACACTGTGAAAATCTCTTTATTGGAAGGAATACTGATGCAAACCCAGCAGCGTTTCTTGGAAGGAATGCATATCGCCCGTCTTGCTGAGGCTTTAATGAAGAGCTCGAGTGAGAAGCACTCAGAGGAAGTGTTAGGAGTGACTCTCAGCTACTACCACAAGAAATTTTAGCTTCATATCTGAAATGGTCTGAGTTGGAGCCATTAAAAAAATTAAAGTTTAAGTTTTTAAGTTCGGTTGGCTGTGGCAGCCATCTTGATTTGGTTTATCTCCAGAAGTTAACAGACGTAGATGTGGGTCCAGATGCTACTTTCTGAATTAAATATTTTGCTGACAGGCTGATGGACAAATGAACACCCAGACAGGGACACCTCTATCATCACCCACCCTGCAGAGGACCGGCCAACACACATGATTTATTTCTTTATTATTTATGATTTAATAATGAAGTGCCGTCAGAGACGTTGCGTAAGTTTGGTTTTGTGTGTCTCGGTGAAACTGCCCCTCCGTCTGAACCATCCGGTTAAACCCGGCTGAAAAACCCAGATGGAAACCGTTCTAACCGCAGGCTGTCATCCTGCAGACTCCTGACCACCCACAATGCTTTGCGTCTGCAGACAGACGGAGTTTCCATGACTGATGTGAGTCTGTGGGTCCAGCGGAACCGCCTGCAGACCACGCTCGGGGCCGCAGCGCCGCTCAGAGTAATTAGACCCGACCGAAACATGTTTGTGTTGGACTCGCATCACTGAACCTGCAGAAGTGCATGCTGGGTAATGAGGGTTGTCCTCTGCATCGGTCGGAAAAGCCTGAAGTGTTTCTGCTGCTGAGTCACAGCTGGTTTCACAAAGTGCTGCAGCTCTGGACCTAAACGCTGACACGTGTTCGGGTCAGAACCAGAGGTTCTGAACAGCCCGGTGTGTGAACTGGACTTTGTGTTGGTGAAATGCACCTGCTGCACTCATGCCCAACTTTTAATCAAAGATCTTACACGAAGCGGTAGCGCTCAGAGTTGGAGTCGACTCTCAGCTACTACCACACCGAGTTCTAGCCATTTGGTCTTTAAGTAGCTGTGGTGGCCATCTTGAATTAGGCGGACTATAAAAGTCAACTGTAAAGGTGAAACTAATTTATAATTTTCTTTATAATTTTAGTGTTTGGCGAGATATTTTACTGACAAACAGACGAAGCAGTTTTGTACATGATTAACCGATCTTTGATGGCTGCAGGCGATAATTAAAATCATCAAATTAATCTCAAATAATCTCTTAAATCTTAAAGTAAAGTTGGTTCTTCTTCATGATAGTTCTGTCTTTAGTCCAGCTGATGGTCTGGGAGCTTTCAGAACCTCTTTAAACTGTGAATAATGTTTCTTCTCAAACTTAAATCCCTTTTGGAGCCTTTAATCTTCTGGAAACTTCAGCCGTGCTGTAAGCTGTAATCTCCCGCCTGACGTTCTGTTTGAGTTTTAGTTTCCAGCTCTGCAGCCGCTCAAACGGAACAAACGTCTTCACTTTCATCCACATCGGACCTGACGGCGGCGCTTTACGAGGAAATTCTTTCTCACTTTTTCTGGTTGTAAAACCTGAGCGAGGCTCTCCGCTCAGAACCTGATTTTAATTTTTTTATTTCCAGAAGAACTGAGTCATTTCATCTCTAACTGTAACTCTGAGTCACGGCTCGGATGAGACAAAATACACGACTTAATCTCGTTTTAGTTGTTTTAATCTCAAACCGAGTATTGTTTAGAGTTTAAACGGTTCGCCTGAATAAAATCCTTCACCATGAACATTTTCTGTAGCGAGACGTCTCCTGGACCAGAACTGGTCCGAAGTCTTTGATCCTTTGAACGTTGTTTGTCGTCTTCAGGCCTACGCTCAGTTCGCTGGAGCTCCGATGAAACTTCGAAAGATCTGCAACCCGTGGAGGAGTCCGAGCGGTGAGTCCGAGCCGTTGTGCACGTTAAACCGTGTCTCACTGGAGGCGTGAGCTGACTTTTTTTATTTTCCTTCAAAGGGTCACTTCCTGCTCTGAAGACCAATCAGAAGGAGACGCTGTCCCGACCCGCTGACATCATCATCCACCTGAGAAAACAGGTACCGCCAGGTCCAAACAGCTGCAGCAACCACTCGGGAAGACTATAAAATGATTTCACAGTCACAAAAGGTTTTAAATGTTTGCTGTTTAAAAAAAACTGCATCCGGGTCAGAACCAGAGCTCGGACTTCTGGCGGCAGAACATCAAACAACAACGATGAAAACTGTCCCACAGACTTCGATGGGGTTTGGTTTTAGTGAGGGTTAAACCCGGTCCTGCTTGGATCTCCAGCTCAGACGTCCCAGCAGAACCATCAGTGGGAGTTTAAATGGGTCACAGGAAGTTGGACTTTAATGACTGAACTGCAGTTTCCAGAACTTTGACTCTTTTACAGATTTAACCTCAGAATGTTCATCCGGCACTGAAGCCACTCCAGCTCTGAACCTTTAAACTTTAAAACATTTTTTATTTTCACAAACTTTTCATTTCTCCTCCAGTTTGTCCTCCTGTCTTCAGTCTTTCTGTCTCCGCCCCCCCAGAGTGTCTCTGCTGCAGGACTGATGTCCTCTCAGAGGTCACTCTCCCACTGTCTGAGCTTCCAAACAGGAAGTGAAGTCTCTTTTTTTAACTTGTCCTCTCTCCTCCACCCAACCCTGTAGAACCATCAAACAAAACCTGTGGTACCATCAGAACCTTCTGCTCACGGGTCAACAAGTTCTTCTAGTTTTCACACAGAGACTTGGTCTGAGGCTTAGTTTTTATTCTGCGGTTCTGCCTGAAGTGCTGGCAAACAATGACCCAAAGGGTTCTGGGTCTTCTGCCTTACCCAGCATGCCGTTCTTCATCCTTCATGTTGTTTCTAATCAGACCTTTGATGTTCAGGAGGATTCAGTCAGAGGGTCGACAGGAAACAGGAAGATGTTTGAACCTGGAGTTTCAAAATAAATCTCACACTTTCTCTTCAAAATAAGAGTCTGGCTCTGTCACAGCTTAGATTATGCCAGAAGGAAGTCACAGATTAAAGGAAGTAAAAGACAAACTGCTGCTCTTTGCTGATGGTTCTGTTTGAGTCGGATCAAAGTGTTTGGACTCGGGTCTAATGTGTCAAACATAAAATCTGAACTTTTATTTAAGAACGTGTTTTAGTTTCTGAAATCTGTGAAGAAAGCAGCTAACGTTCAGAAGAGATGGAGCTCCGGTCCAACAGAACGTCTGAAGCCCGGTTTTATCATCTGAGCTGCGTATCATTCGCGTCTCAGAACTTTGTGGTTCTGAGGTTCTGCAGAGACATGTTCCTACAGAGCTGATAGCTCTGAACAGAACCTCAGTTCAGACTCTGGGACTGGAGTCATTCAGGCTCAGAGTGGACCAGAACCGGTTCTTCACTGTCACAGAGAGGTGGATCTTTAAACACTGATCTGAACCCAAACAGAACATCTGCTCTCAGCCGCCGTTCAGCGTCGAACCAGCAGCTGGAAGAGATTACCCAGCATGCTCTGCATTCCCTCACTGCGGTAGGTTGGTCACCGACCACAGGGACGGAAAAGCTGCTGAAGAAGCTCCGAAGAGAAAACCGTCGGCTGCAGAGTTTAACCTTCATCTTCTTCTTCATCACATGTTCCAGTCAGCTGTTTTTATTGTGTTGACCGTAATTACACACAAAACCAACAAAACCAACAACACCTCTTCTGTTCAGTAACGGTGTGTAACGGTGGGACAGCAGTTAATATGTTGTTCTACTTACTACTATTATTACTTCTACTGCACTACATATGTTGTTACTGTAGTGAAAATAAAGCTCAGGGTATTGATTCACAGGAAGTATCAATGGTATTGATCATGTTATTGATAACCTTAAACGGAAGAAAGCCAACCCATCCTGCACCAATCCAAAGAGCCACTCCATTCAAGTTCTTTGTTTTTATGTTATATTAAATGATGTTTTTTTATTTATTTATTGTATATTTATTTATTTATATAAATACAACGCAGACCACGATATGAAATGCATTTATTTATTTATTCATAGAAAACCGACACAGACTACGATCTGAACTTTATTTATTTATTATAGAAATACAACACAGACCTCGATCTGAACTT